CTTTCCCTTATTTCTCCATCCCTTCAGGATTGGGGCATAGATGCACATGCATCAGGTATATTTTTAAAGCCACTGGGCCAGAATTTAAACTTCCATCTGTCATATGGAATCCAGTTCCCAATGTACAGTGCTTAACCACTGCTCTATGGAGCCAGCCTGTTATTTAATATTTTTAAAATTGTATGGGGTTAGCCCATGATTAAGGCGGCTGGATCTTATATGAGAATTGGAGGAGAAGGGATTGTAACCATGCCCCTTGAGACGCTCTCTCTTTTGCTCTTTCTCTCTCTGACAAGTACATGCATCTTCTAGGAAATAAAAAAGGAAAAAAAAATATGTATACCTACCTTCTAATTCTTGGAATTTTAGTGACTCCTCAGAAAAATAGCATTTGCAGAATGGGTAGTAACATCTTTTGTTTTGTTTCTCTCATCTGCTAATAAATCTTCTTTCTGAGGCACAAACTAGTATTTGCCTCTAATTAATCAGCGTGTGTTATTTTGCCTTTGGACAACCCATAGATCTCTCAGGTGCCAGCTGGAATCTGTTCACAGTTGAAAACATCTCTCATGACTCGGAGAGATCACATTCTAACTTTGAAATGTTGGTCAGCAGATGCAAATACAGAGTGATTAGTCCTTGCACCAGTGAGCTCACACTTGTTTTCTAAGTCAGATTGTGAAGCTGACATTTATTGTATATTCTTTTTTTTTTTAAATAATGCATTGGCCTTTTTTATTCTTTTTTTTTAACTTTATTTATTATTAATATCATTATTATTTTTCAGTTTGATCAGAGAGAGACAGAGAGAGAGAGAGGAAGTGAGAAAGCAAGCCACCAGGTCCAAGACTTGAACCGTGGTCGGCCATGTGGGAGTCCAGCACCTTTAACCACCATGCCACTTGCCGGCCCCTATTGTATATTCTTTTAACTCAAGTATTGTGAGCATTTTTTTCCAAAAAAAAAAAAAAACAAACAAAAAGAAAACCACCACACAGAAACCTACGTACTCATTAAGTCCCACATGCTGCTACGGTGAAAACGTCATGAGTAATACCAGAAAAAAACTCTCTTGGAGGATACTGACACAATGTTTGCATGGCCCCCTAAAATATTGAATGTGGCTCTTTCTTACATTATCTTTCATTTTGATCATGGCTTGGATCAATATCAAAATTATAGATAAGCCCCAGCTGCCATGGTGCACAGATGGCACCACTGCTTGGCAGGTCCAGGTTCAGTCCCCAGCCAACCTGATCACACTGGGCACAGTTGCACATATCAGTAATCCTGGGTGACTGGGAGGCTGGGATGAGGGGATAATGTCAAAAGTACTTCTAACGAAGGACATTTGGAGAAGGGATACAGAGTGTGCATTGACGGGATGGGAAGGTGTGGTGTTATCTGCTGAAGATATTTTGATCAACGGGTCTGGGGAGAAATGTTCACATATCTAAATGGTCTCATTGTAAGCCAAACAATATGATTGAAAGTATATACAAAAAACAAATAATAAATAATGTGAAAAAAATAGTACTTCTAGGGGCCAGCAGGTAGGGTAGTGGTCGAGACTCTGGACTCCCATGTAGCCAACCGTGGTTCCACACCATAGCAAAAGTAAATCTCTTTCAGAAAAAAAGCACTGGAGCCAGGAAATGGCATAATATTTACATCACTGGACTCGTACTTAGTCGACTGCAATTTGAGTCCTGGACCCGGCAGCTTAAAAATTCATGCCAAGAACATGTGCGTGTGTGCCCAAAATCCTGAGAGGAAAATGGAGGACAAAGGATTGCATAGTAGTCATCCCCCCTGGGGGGTGATTTCTCACTTTCTGTCTCTGTCTCTCTCTGACTCTCTGGTGAGCACATGTGCCCTATAGCGAAAATTTCTCTCTAAAAAAAAGTACTTATTGGTTTATTGCTCCCCTTCCCTCTTTTCCTCTCATGGACAAAAAGGAAGAAAATATCTGGTACGAACAAGTTGCTCTGACTAAATAAATAATGTAAAAGCTATGGAGTGTAATTGCAAGCTATGAGTTTGGGAATCCAGGATTTTCATGCTGGCTAGCCCAGGGACTGGCTGGTGGAGTTAGCTCTGATCTCACGTTCTCAGATGCACACCCACCATTCTCACCCTGTGTAACTATTAAGTTTACTGAGCAGTTCCAGTGCTGCATCTGGCACTGTGTTCTTTACATATATTGTCTTGCTTGTTCTAATAACATGATTTTCAATGGAAGAAGAGACAGATACTGCACTAGCTGCACCTCCCTTCCATGGGAAAATGTATCCAGAAACAAAATTCGCTATAGAGGTTTGACTTGCAGTCACCTCATCTGGAGGAACAAATATTTAACTAAAAAGAGAGCTTTTTAGTTAAAAAGTGTATGAGCTGAAATCATCACACATTTGTACCCACACCTACACACACACACACACACACACACACACACACGTACACACAGGCTTCTGCAGAAATTTAATTCTCTTCATTCTCTTATCACTGCTTTATGTGCTAGCCATTCTGCTAGAATAGCCTCAAAAATCACGAAAAAACTACAAATTATTCCTTAGCTATTCCCTAGCTTGATGCTCCTTTTTATATCTGCACCTAAGGTAGAGAATTTTTTTCCTCTCCTTGCTACTTGTCAAACTCCCATCTGAAACTTTTTTCTGCCCCCATTGCTTTCTCTGTCTCTTGCACTTGTATTGTACACAGTTCCTGCTGCTCTTTATGGGAAAGATAGCATTGCTTTGTAGAAATGATGAGGTCTAAATGGAAAGACCACCATATTCAGCTTCATATACTTAGAAACAAGCAAGAAGCGGGACTCAGAAGATTGCACACTGGAAGCATGCATTGAACAAACTGTGTTACAAGCTACACTGTATTCTCCATGCCTGCTGATAGCTCTGGGGTGTCTGGGAGGCCTTGGGCTGCCTGTATGCCCAGGGAAAGTCTGCTCCATTTCACAGAGCAAAGAAAACTTCCGTTGCCTGTGTTCCCTCCTTTCCTTCCCTTCTGCTAGATTTCAAGGAAAGGCCAAAGGCATGAGGAATGTAAGCTTTTCAAAACCATGGCTTTGAACAAGATAGTGAAGGGGAGAGCAACCTTCCTAAGTCAGAAATTTGTTAACATTAGCCACCAATTCTTAGCACTAAGTTTTGGATTTCATTCATTCATTCATTCATTCATTCACTCAGCAAGACTTAAGAAGCAGAACCTGGGACTGAGTCTATATCAGGCCTTGGAAAGGAGAGATGACTAAAATATGGTTTACAGTCAGCATTGCTACAAGATGACAGGAAAACTGGGTCTAACACGTGCATATGTCACAGAGCATAGGTGTGGTCAGGGTGGGGAGGAGCCAGCAGTGCTGCTGGCCAGGCTGTACAATGGAAAAGGGAGAGAGAGACACCTACAATGTTACCTTGGAACTCTAGGATCAAATCAGGTTATCTATTTTAGCATTATGGGGTTTCCATAACACTATTATCCAATATTAAGTAAATGAACCGACAAGTAAAGAAGAAGGAAGGCTGGACCTAGCCAGCCCAATGGCCTAGTAGTTAAGGGAGCTAGATCCCACATGGTCAACCATAGTTCAAGTCCTGTCTCTGGAGGCTTGAAAAAACACTCCAGGGAAAAGGCTGAAAGGATGGAGATGGGTGGGAGAAGAAACTGTGGCATGACCACACCCCACTGGGGTTACTTTCTGCCCCCCCTTCCTCTGTCTCTCTTTGGCAAGAGAACATGCTATCTGGCAATTAAAAACAAGCACAAAAAATAAAAGGCTGGGCCCTGCGACAGCAACAGATAGAGTAGAAACATGCTCTGCTCTCTCAGTGAGTGATTGCTTCCAACCTCCTGAGACCAAAAGAGTTCTAAGGCCTCCCTGGCTTCTTCCTTGAAAATACTGGTTCACTCCTGAGTGCTGAGAACTCAGAGCAGGAAAGGGCAGAGGCCCTGAACAGGATAAAAATTAAGAAATTAAGCTGCAGACCTAAACTATCATAGGTAGATAGCCAGATATGACAGTCCTGAGAGAATGCAGAAGCTCCCTGTCTCGTCAATCATAGCTTATCAGGGGATATAACCAGACTCTGTCTCTGGGGACTCCTTCCTCCCTTCTGGCTCCTGGTGCCAGGTAGGGATGCTTACCTCACTTTTTTTTCTTTATTACTTAACCTTTCTTCAGTAAACTTAGGGAAGATTACTATCTTCCCTCCCTCCATTCCACATTATGCACACAGGCATTCACCAAGATACTTGGTGCACATCTTACTTCCCACTCAGGGCAATAAACTTATATGGGCACAGTCCTCCCTATGCAGACACTCATATCTTCAAATCCACACTGGCCATGTGTAACTGCAATCAAATTCCCTTACCTGACAGGAAGCACACAAGTGTAGCTAAAAGCCTATAAATTTGCACAAAGGAGCAGGCTACAATGACAGACTCCCCTGCTGAATATTCATAACAAAACTTCCTAAAAAAAAAAAAAAAAAAAAAAAAACACTTAGTCCTATCCAAACTGTTGCTGCTAGCAACTTGCCCACCCAAAAGTCTATGGGTGTACTTTTCTAAAATCTTACATTTCTATTAAAATCTTTTTTCATGTTTTTCTTGTGGTTATGGCTTTGAATTGTGTCTTGGGAGCAGGTCTCTAACCTTAAAGGTTTGGACCAAGCCCAACTTCTCCATCGGACAGCAAAACCAGGCCGGAAGAGGTTCAGTCTCACATGGAGCTCTGACAGCCCTTTTATCCAAAACCACCACTTAGCTACATCAGACAGAGCTATCCCCAAGCCAGCCAAGACTACTAGTCTGGACTGTGCTGGACCATTCCATCTCACAGGATAGCTTCTGTCCTGAGTTTCCTGGCCAATTTTTTAAGGGACAGAGGCTCCTAGGACTCTCCCCTCTTCTTTGTCCCACTGTCTCACATCCTGAGGGGTCAGATGATGTCTCAAGATGTCACTGACATACATCCATAATGGACATGGGTTGTTAAGATAGATGCAGAAAGACAGGTGTCATCCTGAGAGGTAGCAGTTGTTGACATCTAGGACAGGAGTGTTCAGTAAATAGGCTACATGTGAGATAAATATAAAAGTCAGTTGCATTTTTATATTTGCGGCAAATCATTAGAAGAAGTAAAGAGAAGTCACCGCTGGCAATAGTTACATAACGTATCAAATACTCAGAAAACAAATCTAACAAAAGATGTGCAAGATATTTAACAATACATTAAGCTCTCCCCAATTTTATGTAACAGGATCACCAGTATCAGTGTTTTATAGGTAATGACCAAATAGACAAAACCTTCTCTCCAGGACTAGACTAAGGTAGAGAGAAGAAACATATGGACATCAACAACAACAACAAAACCCATGGGAGAAGCAACATCTGGTAAGCAACAAGCCGAATCCTGATGTACTTATATGAGTAGCAGCGCCTAATCCTGAGGTTTAGAGTGGGGTTTGCACTCTGGGCTGACCATTGCAACAAGCAGGTTAGGACTAACACCTTACTTGATGAATAAAAAGCCAGGATATCAGGGTGGGCACAAAGATTGAAGCCTGTGCAAAAGCAGGTGATGGAGGATGGGTGGCAGTTCAAGGAGACAAATTGGGCTCAGACAAGCAGTGCCCTCCTGGTTTTCTCAGCAGGTAACATGGCCATTTTCTTTGTGGAACATATAGGAATAATCAAAGAAGAATTTCTTGCTTTCCTTGTCCTCATTATGTTATTGCTCTTCATGAATATGCCTGATCTTCAAAAAATTCATGGACAATGAGTATTATGAAAAAATCTGTGGATAGGTTTCAAAAGCTTTTTGCACCTAAAGAAATTCATATTTTAATCTAATTTCTCCAATAACTTTTTGTAGTCCCCTCATGTATCTTTGATATAAAGTTTAGAATCATTTTATCAATTTAAATGATGAATGTTAGTATCAGTGATACTGAAGCATAAATTTGGGAGGAGGTGAATACACTGGTAAATATATTTGCCAGACTTTTTCCCTAAGTATTTGGCATGTTATATAACCATTGTCAATGATGGCTTCTCTTGTTCTCTTCTCAATGTCACAAATACAAAAATGCAACTGACTTTTATATTTATTTATATCCAGCTCATTTGCTAAACACTGTCTTAGATGTCTCCCTCATCCTTCCTGCTCCTCTTTGCCTCCTCCTCACCTTCAGACCCCTCAAGAGAAAGATCAACTTGTTTTCACATCTCCCACGATACTGAAACTTCTGCCTCCCAAACCATGCTTCAGAAGCAATTGTCTGTGCAAGCCCCAGTGATACCATCAGTATCAACATCAGTACATTCATGTATTCTGCAAGTTTTCTGAATCTATCTGGTACTCTTGATTTGTCCTTTCCTTGTCTTCTAGAAATCCATTCTCTTGCACTTTGCCCCCTGTCTCTCTGATGACTTCACCAGTCTCTACCCCTGCTCCTTAAACATGATTCTACCCAGAATCTCATGCTCTTTTCTACTCTGGTGCTCAATTTTGGAGTGTCAGTTTTACTAAATGATTTAAAGAGAGACTATAGTTGCCTTTATTGGTATTTGTGGCATAATAATATTTTCAAGTTGAGCTAATCATATACTATTGAGCGTGCAAGCAAGCATATAGAGGTAATTTTAAAAATATAATCATCAATGAGGTTTTGCACTTGTTCTAAACATTTACAACTAGTGTTACAAAATCACACTCTAGTTTTGTTTGGCTATATCTAGCTTTGTTTGGCAGAAAGTTTTGAGACTCACTACCCTAGAGAATCAAATCAAATCCTTACTTCTCAAATTGTAGTTGAAAAGCCACTCCCAGATATTATTCTTTCTACTCCCCCTACATTTTATTAAACTGAAGTTGGGCATATCCAACATGGACCTGAAGACAGGTCCACATCATGAGAAGGAACTGTAACTTAGTCTAAACTGAGTTGCCTAGACATGGCATTCCTCTGTATGAATACATAGATTTGATTGGTTTTTACCCAATTTTAAAAAACAAAGTGAAATGTCAAACAGCAGAGCCTTGCTGAGAACTCTCAGTTGGCTGAAATAGAAACAAGAGTATCAAGTTGGGGTAGAACTGAAGAAAGAGCACATTTTCGTTCAGTTTCAGATTATTTCATTTGCCTATTATCCTTGTAAATAGAATATTTGAACAGAATGTTTATGATGACAAATTGCCTTCTAATTAATAACTCACCCTGGGAATTAAAATTTTTCCTCCTGGAATACAACCAAACCTAAATTTCAGTCCAAAAGATAATTTTTGGATAATAATTTCTTTCCAAAGAAATAAAATCAAGCTCAGTACAGATCTTCCAGATGCAATGTGCCAGCATCAGTGCCATTATTCCATACCGACACTGCCATGTGTCTACTCAAAATACAGCTTCCATCCGGGGTGCTCGTTTAGTGAAAATAAAAGTTTACTAACAAGTGTCTCATTTTATGTATGTAACTTCGCCCCAAAGATCTACAAAGGAGAATGTACGTTTTAGTGCTCACAATTAAGAAGAAGCCATCATCCTTGATTTAGTAGTCACTATGTTTATTTGTTTGAAATGGCAGAATTTACTGGCTTCTTCCTCCCTTCCTATGCAATATTCAAGATAGTCATTTCAAATTTGTTAGCGATACAAACTGAGACATGTGGATGCCCTTAAACTTAACTCCAGAACAATCCTTGTCTATTGCTATTGCCTTTCCAACTTATCCTTTCTCACTCAACAACAAATAATTTTATTCCATCCAGATATTTTATCCATTTTATCAGTGATGAGGCAGCAAAGGTTGACTGAGTCTAACCTCATTTTTTTTTAATTTAGCTTTTACTATAGTGTGAATACACTCACCAGTGAGAGAGAGAGAGAAATCACCCCCAGAGGGATGTCCATACCACAATCCCTTCTCCTCATTTCCCTCGTGGGACTTTGGGTACGCACATACACACATCAGGTATGATTTTTTTTTTTTTGAGAAGTTTTCGCTATAGGGCGTGCGCACTCGTCACACAGACAGAGAGAAACATAGACAGAAAGCGAGAAATCACCCCCCAGGGGGGATGGTCACACCGCAATCCCTTCTCCTCCGTTCTCTTCTCGGGATCTTGGGCACGCACGCACACGCTCCCAGCGTGAGTTCTAAGCCACTGGGTCTGGGACGCAAACCGCGGTCGACTACGTGGGAGTCCAGCGACATAGCCATTACGCTAACTGCTGGTTCCCCATCATCAGGTATGATTTTCAAGCTGCTCAGTCTGGGACTCGAACTGCAGAATTGGCTATCTGGGATCCAGCCACCTTATCTCCACACCACCTGCTGGCCCAGTCTAACCTCATTTTTAACTATGAGTTAAATGGCACAAAACAAAACAACACAAAAACATGTCTATCACTAAGTATTGAATTATAACTAAACTTGAATAATTATTTTGAACACTTTAAAAGTTAAGCTCTCAGTAAACCAAAAGTCAAGAAAAATTCCAGTGTGAATCCCCAAAGTGTAAATTATACTGCAGTGGCACATACTGCTGAGACAATATACTCCACAGGCTGAGATCACATGGGAGACTCAGGTTCAATTCCCAGAGCGACCTAAAAGCCAAGCACTGGGGTATGAAATTATAGTCTTGGCTAGGAGGCTAAGACAGAAGAATCAGGACCTACACCATGTCTTAAAAACAAAAACAAAAAAATATACACGCACATACACACACACACAGACACATACACACACACACACACACACACACGCACTGCTAGAAATCAGGTCCTGCTCTGATTTGATTAAGGTTGACAAATCTTCCCCCCCATATATTCCTAGTCTTTCCCCTTCAATCCATATCAAAGAGATATCCTCTCCGTCTCTCCCCCAACCTCCATTAGAATAACTATCACTCCAACTCCCAAGTTCATTGGTTTTTTGGTCATTTTTATATTACATCTGACCTTTGGACAACATAGGTTTGAATGGCACAGGTCCACTTATGTGTGGGGGTTTTTTTCTATAAATATGTTGAAAAATGTAATAAATTACTGTTAATGTATTTTCACTTCCTTAAGATTTACTTAAGGAGAGCTGAGATCTAGACATTTCAGAGATAAGAACAATGAAGATGTTCTGCTGAGAATTTACCCTGGCAAAAAAAAAGGCAGGCCAGAAGAAGACTGAGTCCACCATGAGAGCGGAGATCTAGTCATTTCAGAGATAAAAACAATGAAGATGTTCTGCTGAGAATCCGCCCTAGTAAAGCCCTTTTCTCCTTCTCTCTGTCTCTTTCTGCCTTTCTGTCTCTGTCTTATCATTTTTTTCTAATTGTTCTTTTCTTAAAATTTTTTAAGGGAAAGTTTTTTCTAGGCTCTGAAATCCTCCTTTATCTTGGTAATAATCCCTTTCCCTCTCCCCTCTCATCTAGGCAAAAAAAGGCAGGCCAGCAGAAGACCAAGACAGCCATGAAAATGAAATCTAGTCATTTCAGAGATAGGAGCATTGAATATGTTCTAATGAAATCTAGTCATTTCAGAGATAGGAGCAATGAATATGTTCTTATGAGAATCTACCCTGGCAAAAAAAAAAAAGGCAGGCCACAAGAAGACTGAGTCTGCCATGAGAGTTGAGATCTAGTCATTTCAGAGATAGGAGCAGTGAAGATGTTCTGCTGAGAACCTGCCCTGGTAGAGCTCCTGTACCCTTCTCTCTGTCTCTCTCTCTGTCTCTTTCTACCTTTCAGTATCTGTCTTTTCACTTTTTTTTTTTCATGTTTCTTTTTAAAATTTTTTTAAGGGAAAGTTTTTTTCTAGGCTCTGAAATCCTCCTTTATCTTGGTAATAATCTCTTCCCCTCTCCCCATCTCTTCTAGGAAAAAAAAAAAGCAAGCCAGAAAAACACTGAGTCTGAGATCTAGTCATTTCAGAGACAAGAGCAATGAAGATATTCTGCTGAGAATCTGCCCTGGTAGAGCTCTTGTCTCCTCTATGTCTCTCTCTGTCTCTTTCTGCTTTTCTGTCTCTGTCTTTTCATTTTTTTTCTAATTTTTCTTTTTTTAAATATTTTTTAAGGGAAAGTTTTTTCTAGGCTCTGAAATCCTCCTTTATCTTGGTAATAATCCCCTCCCTTCTCCCTCTACTATCTAGGCCAAAAAACAAACGAACAAAAAAAAAAGGCAGGCCAGAAGACTGAGACTGTCATGACAACTGAGGTCTAGTCATTTCAGAGACAAGAGCAATGAAGATGTTCTGCTGAGAATCTATACTGGAAAAAAAAAAAAGGCAGTTCAGAAGAAAACTGAGTCTGCCATGAGAGCTTAGATCTAGTCATTTTCTCTTTTTTTGAGACGTTTTTGCTATAGGGTGTGTGTGCAGAAAGATAGAGACAGAGAGACAGAAAGTGAGAAATCAACCCCCCACCCCAGGGCGCTGGCTATGCCACAACCCCTTCTCCTCCATTCTTCTCTCGGGATCTTGGGTGCACACATACACATGCTCGGCATGAGTTTAAGCCACTGGGTCTGGGACGTGTACCGCGGTCGACTGTGGGAGTCCAGTGACATAGCGATTACACAAACTGCTGGTCCCAGATCTAGTTATTTCCAGAGATAAGAACAATGAAAATGTTCTTCTGAGAATCTACCCTGGTAGAGCCCCTGTTTCCTTCTCTCTGTCTCTCTGTCTTTCTGTCTCTGCCTTTTCAATTTTTTTTCTAATTTTTTTTTTAATTTTTAAGAGAAAGGTTTTTCTAAGCTCTGAAATTCTCCTTTCTCTTGATAATAATCCCCTCCCCTCTCTCCTCCTATGTAAGCAAAAAAAGGCAGTCCAGAAGAAGATTGAGTGTGCCATGAGAGCTGAAAAAACTGGGTATCCACCTACAGAAAGAGGAAACTGAATCCCCACCTTTCACCACTGACAAAAATCAACTCAAAATGGATCAAAGATGTGAACCCAAGATCTCAAACTTTAAAACTTCTGGTGGAAAATACTGGGGAAACTCTGGGAGACATTGGGTAGGCAAAGACTTCTTAAATAAGACGACCAAAGCACAGGAATAATCCCTAAAATAGACAAGCGGGACTATATCAGACTGAGAAGTTTCTGCACAGCAAAGAACACAGTAATTATTAGTGTGAATCAACAACGCTCAGAATGGAAGAATATTCTTGCAAAATATACCTCACACAAGGGACTGATATCAGAATACACAGCGAACTCAAGCAGTTTACTTGGAAAAAAAAAAAAAAGATTTACCCAATTAAACGA